GCAGGTTCACTGAATGACCACATCTTAACCAAACTCAAACTAGTGAAATAGGTTATAAATGGATTATCCTTTATTTTCTGTTCTTTCCCTAAACTCTTTTACAGCTCCTTACATGTGTATAAATAAATGTGTATTTGATATTTTGCCTTTTATGGGAGAGGAAATCTCAAAGCACTTCACAGGAGTTACTGTATTTTGTAGGCAAACACAGCAGTCAATTTGTGCACAGCCATGTCCCACAAACAGCCATGAAGTGAATGACCAATTTTATTTGGAGGATTGTTGGCCAGGTCCCCAGGAGAAACTCCCTTCTCTTTTCAAATGGTATCTTTAACAATCATCTGAACAGGCAGAACAGAGGTTTGGTTTATGTCTTATCCAAAAGACATCACCTACCTCCAGCAATGCAAGACACCCCCAGTACTTTATTGGAGTGTCAGCCTTAGACAATATAAGTTTGAAGTCCCAACATGGATCTTGAAACCATAGACTTAGAGGCAAGAGTTCTAACAAGTGAGCCAGACTGAGATCATGATGGATAAATGATTCATGACACCTGCATTGTACAGCAAAGTCTGTGTTACTATCAGATTTAAATATCCATTGAGTTTGTATGGGCTTAATGGAATAGAGTCTGACAGATTAAAGGAGCTTCCATAGAGCATCCATTTACATGTGATCACTTATATACTCCAATCAAGGATTTATATATTTTGTTGCCTTCACGATGTGCACCTATACTTGTCCGCCAGGATTTACCATGCTGGAAAACAGTTATCTGAATCCCAGTAAACGAGGATTAATAGATGAAAAAAGGTAAAGGTTAAAACTAAAAGGAGCCATTTACAGATGCAACCTCAATTGAAGTAAAAACCATCACACAAAATGTGGCACTTTGAACATGTGGCATAAAGGAATGGTACAAAAGATTTAAACTGATCCATGTGCTGGATACATTCAGGCAATTTAACCATTAACTCCAGCAGAATTCTGTTATATTTCAATATTTTGGGAACATTTTCTAGTGGAACACAATGATTTTTCTGAAGAGAATACAGCTTCAGAACTGTGTCAGTCACAGCCAGCAGAGAGTGAATGAAAACACTTTAATAAGAATGGGATCAGAGTAAGACTGAGTATTCTCACATTACATATTTCAGAAATATGTAATTATCCCTAAGCAATAGAGTCCACATTGCAAGGATAGAAAATATTTTGGTGAAGACATTGCATTTAACAGTTGCTTGCAGCTAATAATGTAATAGAAAGACAAGTAAACAAAATTATTACTTGTTACAAGGATGACCAATTTGCAGCCCAAGTGACTATTTTACGCATGTGTCAGGCCCAAGGCAATGGAATTCCGGCTCACAGATTTAACTAACTGCTGGCTCGCAGGATTTCATTCTTTACTAAATAAAATTAAGATATAGATGAGGGAGAATAAAATAGAGAGGTATGGGGAAAGGAATAGGACAAGTGGAGTCTCATCTGCGGGATAAACACAGGGATGGACAAGTTGGATTGAGTGATTTCTTTCTGCATTCTATGTAATTCTGTGCAAAAGCCCTCTTAAACGACAGAATCTACTTTCAGAATCTTGCCGATCCATAAACTAGAAGTGTGACACTATGGGCTGGTCTTTCTCACCATTGCCTTCAGAATGGGGTTGAGGGAGGGAAGGGTAATATGAAACCCCTCCCCTCGATTCGATGTAATAAATAATACATGGATACCAGATTTCAGCCAATTGTTGGCAACACTGATCAGTACTCTTCAGTGGATCTTAGTTTAGTGGCAATGATTTTATTGAGGGAACACTGAAACTGTAGCTTGTCATTAATTACGATTACAGTCACATGAATAGTTCCATCACTTTCAGAATTCTGTTGCTACTTTTCTTCCCTTTTCCATAGGGTTACAACCGTTGCTTCCTACGCTACTTCGGGTTTTCAAACATCCCGCCTATTGTGTCAGGTCATACTTACCTCATCTGATGGAGGAACGTGAAGAGGCCCCAGACAGGACGCAGCCTGTGGATCAGAGGAGCAGGCTGAGAAAGCTACAGGACATTGCTCTCCGTTACAGCAAGAGATAGGAATACAGGCAAACAGGAGCACAAGAGAGCCATTCAACCCAGCAAACCAGTTCCAGTTTATTAGAGTTTGGCAGGTGGCTCTAAACAGGCAAGAAAGGACAAAGCTTCTTGTGCAAATCTGGTAAACTGTGCACTTTACAAGAACAAAACTTTGCGTTCAGATTAGTAGCTTCATTACATATTGAAACTAGGTGAGGCCTAGTAATAATAGGACTGAAAATACCATTGATGTATGCTAGCATCTTGCCTGTTGTTTAAGTTGACATTGCAAGTAAGCCTGTTTTATTGCATTTCATATCATACTTACATTAATTTCAATACATTTCATAAGCCTGTCCACACTATATAAAAGTAGTCAAAGTTAATCTTCTTAAATCATTTCAGATTTGCTTTGCATATCATCTACTTATTCTGTGTTTTACGTTGTTCAGTGTCTACTATTGTTAATTATGGTTTTCCCTATTGCTTATTTTCAGGAATTTTCATGTTGTCTAGTCTTTTCTCTGAATGGTTGAATAAGTCCTTATAAATTCTCCAAAGTAATGTGTTGTAATTGCTGAGGTGTCTTCAAGTATCCTATTAAATGCTACATTGACTTCCTAATGGTTTTGGTTCTGATTGACCCTTGTTAGCACAGTGCACATTATACAGTTTGAGGACTGTCAACATTTTTTGAGAAATTCTTGATATAAATGGCCAAATATTCCTGGTGCGACATAGAGATTTGAGTACAGATCAGATGGAAACATAGAAACTTTGGCCCAAAATGTCTGTGCCACTGCTTCCTCCATGCTTTTTTCAGTCATCCTTTTTATTCATTTCACTTTCCAGGTCTTTCCTCATATGTCTTTACTTTGTTTTTACTTCTCAAGTGCATATCCAGTTTCCTTTTACATCATTCCATTGTGGAGTCCTGTAGCTCAGTGGTTAGAGCACTTGCTTTGCAAGCGAGAGACCTGAGTTCAATTCCAGGCAGGGCGAAACCTTGGGCAAGTTTCCTTACTCCACACAGAGCCTAATAATAATCCCTCCTAAAAACAAAACAATAGTAAATTGGTCATTTTCAATCTATGACTGTTTGTGAGACATTGCTGTGCGCAATTGGCTGCCGCGTTCGCCCACAAATATACAGTCAATTCACTTTACAGTGTGTTCTGTGAAGCACTTTGGGACGTCCTCCCGACGTGAAAAGCGCTATATCAAATGCAAGGATTATTATTATTATTCCATTGATCTCACCTCAGTGACTATTTGGGGTCAGGAATTCCCCACCTTCTGAGGAAATTTCTTCAAGCCTCACACTAACAAGCTGCTAACATTCTTGAGACCTGTCACTCATTTCCCAATTAAAGGAAATGTGGTTCCTTATTTACCTTGTCATTCACCTTTAGAATTGTAAGCATTTCTATGTGTATCTTTTCTGAATCTCTTCCATCCCATTGACAAAAATCTCAATTTAGCTCATCTCCCTTCCTCACATTTATTGTCTTATATCCAGTGTGTCCTAGCATGTGCGCTGCACTGGTCAGGTGGCTTTTCTGGGAGGTTGAGATCAAGTGGGCCAAAGGGCCTTCTTTATCCAAACCAATCTTGTGATCTTTGTGAACGTTAGGAATGCTTCCTGTAACTGAATACAACACTCCAACTGTGACTGAACCAATGTCCTACACAATTCCAACAGTACGACCCTGTTCTTATACCCCTATTTGTGAATCACAGAATCACATTTGTCTTCCGGATAGCTTTGTGTACCTGATGTCCCAGTTTTAATGAAATTATTCCTCTGCTCATTCACTCTATTGAATGCTTTACTCTTCAGGCTACATTTCCATTCAATTTTCTTTTTATCAACGCTTAGTACCTCACATTTATTAAAATGAAGCTGAATTGGACAATTGTTTTATTTTTACTCATCTTGGAGAGGAGAAAAAAGCTGGTGAATTCTGCTGCTCTGGATGATGGAGTTTGCAGGGCTGGCTGATGCTATCAAAGTAAGGTTAGTGAGTGGCTGCAGTGCATTCTGTAGCCACAGTGTGTCTGTGGGAGTGAGAGTGAATGTTGATTATCTCAGTCGGAATATATCTTATCTTGTCCCCATGTTGGGACTTTGAACTCACTGTCCAGGCTGACACTTCAATTCAGAGGTGGTGGTGCTTTGTATTCTCGGAGGTGCTGACCTTTGGGTGAGATAATAAACCAAGCTTCCGTCTGCCTGTCCAGGTGGATGTTAAAGATCCTGTGGCACTACTCAGTAAGAGAAAGTAGTGTCTCCAGTGTCCTGGCCAACGCTCCCCAAAATAAAATTGGTTACTCATTTCATAGCTGTTTGTGGGATATTGCTGTGTCAAATTGGTGGCTGCAATTACTTACAAATACACATCAGTGCACTTAACAGTAAATCCTGTGAAGCACTTTGAGATGTTCTCCTGATATGAAATATGTTATATCAAATTTATGGATAATTATTATTATTATTATCCTCTTAATCTGATTCTTCCCTTTTGGCTGTTACCCTCTCTTTTACCCAAGTTTTTCTAGACCTATTGCCCCTATGTTATCAATGTTTACTTCCTCTTCAAAACTGTCCCATTCTAAGATGCATTCTCATTCTTTCTTCCCCCTTGCATTTGTTTAAATCCTTCCCCCACACCTTAAATTAATCAGAAATACCTTACGAGGCAGTTTGATTATGGAGAATAAATTGGTAAGTGAAAGTGGACAAAGATTAACAAGCGAGCATGCACTATCCTTTCATTGAGTCGAACTCAGCAACGCCAACCTTCAAGGTATCACATGCTTTGAGTCATGTCAATAAAGAGAGTGACAGCTGAGCTTTATTTTGCATCGTTTGAACTCTGCGTTAAGACTCGTGATTACAAAAAATAATCAGCCTGCGTAGCTTTTCCGGAAATATTTTATTATTTTTTTATATCTGATGACTAATACATCTTAAATAATGGATTATGAATCTACATTGATCATGAATTGTGCCAGTGTTAGTAAAAGGAAACACATTGCTGTGTTTAGAAAGTTGGCACATTTGATAAGCAGTCGAGTGAATGGTTCTTGCCGTCTGTTGCGCAACTATTAAACAGTTAATTTTTCTCCATCCTTTTCTTCATCCTCTGCATACACTGTCCGCTGCTCTTCTTTAAGCAATTTTACACCTGGAATGAAAACATGATGTACTGAACATGGCAAAACCACGCAGAGGTGAAGAAAGGTGAGAGAAGGGAAGTGACAAGTGGTCAACCACACACTCAAAGTTGTCTGACTGCTGCTGCTGTAGTATTCTCATTGTCCTTTCATGAAATGTGTAAGATCCCATAGCTCATTTGTATTACTTCATTGGCACAGTCGTGTTTGCCTTTTGACATTACCTTTGAAGCTCCTATAAGTTGTGGTCAGTGCTCCAAGACACTGCACCACATGAAGGCGCTACACAAATGCAAAAATGTTGTTGTTGCCATTTTTTAATATTACAATTGTCCATCTCTCTGAACTGTTTTCCTAATAATATTGAATGACATTTCGATTCTAAAGAAGAAATAAGAAACCTCCAGTAAAAGGTTAAATAATATAGTTTTTTCTGAATCATTTACATAATTTAATGTAAAAGGTGATTTTCGATCAATACTCAGAGATCAGCTGATAAACATGGGATGGGAGTGGGGGGGGGGGGGGGTGATTCTCACACACATCGACAGTCTTTAATCACTGACTGACTTAATTGACCATGCTTAACAATGTTAGTGTTTCTTAGTGTTGATTAATACGTCACGAGTCATCATTTTATTGGGAATTTCAATACCTTGTCTGAGTAGCATTATTACTGTGAGGTCATTGATTCCTTCAGATTCTCAATGCATGAATGGGATTGAAAACCTAAACCCAGAACAATAATTTTAGATGCAACATGACAGTAGGACAGATGACAGGATGTTTTTCTTAATGCAAAGGGTAATCAACGACTGGAACTGGTTGTCAGGAAAGGTGGTTGAGGCCAGGATGATGGATTCATTTAAAAAGCAGCTTGATGCTGCGAAGGGGAATGACAGGATCGAGAAGGATCAGACCAGATCGAAGGGCCTTCTTTATCCAAACGAATCTTGTGAGAACTTGATCTTGTAATGCTCTTTAAACCTTTCAGGGGGCTTCTTTAAAAAGACGGGGTCGGCTACAAAGCAAGAGAAAAGGAAGAGGTGGAGGTAGAAGGAGAGGAGACCATAGGTGTGATTGAAGAGGTAGGGTTTAACGTAGGATTTAGCATGTGGGAATGGCGGCGTCAGATTAAGCAATACCAGATGCCAACTGGAGCAGTCAAAGGGCAGATTGACATTTCACAGGCACTGTTAATGTAACTCCAATTGGAGTTGGAGTTCAAGTACAGATCAGCCTATAGAACTAGTGATCACAGTCTTAAGATTAAGGGACATCCCTTTCGAACTGAGTTGAGGAAACACTTCTTCACTCAGAGGATAGTGAATTTATGGAATTCTCTACCCCAGAAGGCTGTAGATGCTCAGTCCTTGAACATATTCAAGATTGAGATTGATAGGTTTCCAAAGGATTGAGGGATTAAGGGATATGGGGATAGGGCAGGTAAATGGAGTTAGGTTAGAAGATCAGCCATGACCTTATGGAATGGCGGGGCAGGCTTGAGATGCCGAATGGCCTACTCCTGCTCCTAATTCCTAAATGTTCCTATGTTCCAGCCATGATCTTATAGATTGGTGGAACAAGCTTGAGGGGCTGTATGGCCAATTCCTGTTCCTATATTCCTGCAATGAAGAGGTGATCCAGGATGAAAACAATGGGCAGAATCAAGTAGACTTCAACACCAAACCATTACTAACAATAATGTTTGCACAGGGTGGTGACTGAGCGCACTCAATGATGGCAAAAGTTGACACCAAACCAGGTAGAGGGGGAGGTGACCTTAAAACTGGTCAAAGAAGAAAATCTTGAGGTACGATCTGAAGACAGGCAAAGAGAGGACAATGGCAGAGGGATTAGGAAAGAGAGTTCCAGAGGTTCGGTTGTCGAATCAATATTCCTGTAGTGGAGTCCTGTAGCTCAGTGGTTAGAGCACTCGTCTCGCAAGCAAGAGACCTGGGTTCAATTCCCAGCAGAGTGAAACCTTGGGCAAATTTCCTTACTCCACACACCTGATAATAATTCCTCAAGAAAAAAAAACACAACAATAAATTGTTCACTTCAATCCAGGACTGTTTGTGGGACACTGCTGTTTGCAATTGGCTGCCGCATTTTGCCCACAAATGTGCAGTTAATTCACTTTACAGAATATTCTGTGAAGCACTTTGAGACAACAACAACAACAACAAGATTGTATTTATAGAGCGCCTTTCATGTCGGGAGGACGTCCCAAGGCGCTGGACAGTTGGGATCCGAGCAGGGGGGAACTGGTCAGGGTGAGGGGAGGGAAGGGAGGGACGAGGAGGGGGTAGAGAGTCGAGAGGGGAGGTGTGAAGATGTGAAAAGTGCTATATCAAATGCAAGGATTATTAATATTATTATTATTATCTCAGATATATGTCAAGAGTATTTGGGTCTCGAACATCAGCAGGGATGGATCAATTAGGTCAAGTGAGGACCAGCATCTTGAACGGTATCCTCTGTGCGATGGGAAGCCAGTGGAGTTGGGCAAGGATGGGGGTGATCGGGTCGTGGAGCCTGCGCGGAAGAGGACACGGGCTGCAGAGTTCTGGATGATCTGCAGCCTGTGGAGGGAGGAGTTGGGGAGGCCAACAAGCAATGAGTTTACATAGTCGAGCCTCGATATAATGAAGGCGTGTATGAGGGTTTTGGTGGTCTGCGGTGTGAGACAGTGTCAGAACCGACTGACAGGAGCCAATCAGGAGAGTCTCAGTCTTGTTGACGTTCAACTGAAGAAAGTTAGCTCTCATCCAGGACTTACAATAATAATAATAATCCTTGCATTTGATATCGTGCTTTTCACATCTTCTTGACTTGCTGTCTGACAGACATTCTATCAGGACAGCATTGAGTCCTGGAGTCAAGGGTGGAGGCAGAGAGATAGAGTTGGGTTTCATCCACATACATGTGGAAGTTGACCCCATGTCTGCGGATGGTGTCACCAAGAGGGAGCATATAGATATTGGAAGAGGACAGAGCCCTGAGGAACACCGCACGAGACGGTCTTGGGGCTAGAGGAGAAGTCGTTTGAGAAGATGAAGTGCAGGCAGTATGAGAGGTATGATCTTAACCTGACAAGAACAGTGCTGTGGAGGTTGAGGTGCGAAGAGCGGCGGTGGATGAGGATAGAGTAGTCGACAGTGTCAAAAGCAGCAGAGAGGACAAGGAGGCAGAGGGAGCCCTGGTCGCAGATGGACAGAATGTCATTTGCCACTTTGACCAGGACTGTTTCTGTGCTGTGGGCAGCATGGAAACATGATTGGAGGGGTTCGTGAAAGGAGTGGCGGGAGAGGAAGGAGCGAAGCTGAGAAGCAACAACTCGTTCCAGGACCTTGGAGAGGAAAGGGAGGTTGGAGATGGGGCAGTAGTAAGGGAGAAGAGAAGGATCCAGAGAGGTTTTTTTAAAGATAGGAATGATGACAGCATTTTTTAATTGGGTGGGAACAGTACCAGAGGACAAGGAGAGATTTACAGTGTCAGTGAATAGAGGGGTAGGGAGGGGCAAATAGATGTACAATGATCAAATGCAAAATCTAATTTGTAAGTTAGGCTATTCATGTATTAACTGGATATAACAACAACAACAACATTTGTATAGTGGTATTCATATAGGGTAACATCTCAGAGTGCTTTACAGGGATGGAGTTGGATGCTGAGAGTGCTGAGCCAGACTAACAAAAGAAAAAAGGATGTAGAGCTACTTAGTTCTTGTCTTCTCTATTTCATCTGAATTATGATATAATCTCAGTACAAATTGATGTTCTGATCTTTACATAAACAATTAAATTCATCATCTTCATGCTGATTGTTCATAGTCTACAATGTTTCAATTGACAGAGCAATCCATCAGTGATCTCCATCTTCTTTACAAATAAAACAATAATGTCTGTCTGCGCTATAAGAAGAATTTCAATAACCGATTGACGTTGAGATATGATTTATACCTCATCAGAAAGGTCCTGAAACTGGGAGTGGCATGGGCATATTTGTTCATGAGTTATGACCTAACATGTGTTTCACTTTTGCATTTTTCACTGCAGTTGCACCTGGTGGGTCATCGAGTAAAAGTGGTGCTGTAGCATCGTGCATTACAGAGCATCTACATATGTCATTGAGATGTCTCAAAGTGACTCACATGATATGCTGCAAAGTGGTGTGACTGCATTTTGTGGGTGAAATATATGGTGTATGTTTGGTTTAATATGCCTATGTTAGTGTGTTTGGCTTGATCATGCTTACAGAACAAGGTTATTAAAGAATTAGCATATCAATTGGTGCACTTTTGCTGCTGGCATGAGAGTGAAATGATACCAGGAAGCTGGGTTATACTGCCCATTCCACATTACACCTCAACTGAGCCGGGAAAAATAAACACCCAGTTTGCTTGTAGGTGCATTGAGAAGAGTAGCAAACTCCAATGTTTGTTTCTTTGACACAACTGAAGAGCTGATCACACAATGCTCTCTTTAATAAAAGTAAAATTGTTGTGTTCAGAGTTCTCATGTCATCCGAGGGAAGGCTTGAGTGCTTTGAACAAGCCTCAGAAGTCAGCCTAGTGGCATGCAGATTCACTGTTTATACTGAAGCGGTGGAAAATGTTTAATTACCCAAATCTTCTTCTGTTGAAGTCAGTAGCATGCTCCTACGCAATTCAGACTGATACAACTATTTCCATTGAACTCTTGATAGTGAATTTCTACCAACTCATAGTGAACATGCAATATACACACAGCAACTGAGATAGTACTGCAGCCACAGCAGATGGGAACAACCACATTATTTTACAGACTTTCCTTCAAACACGTCATGAATTCAGGTCTTTACAAAACAATACAATTGGCACCCAGTGTGCTGAGGTACAGCCTGTTTAATGCATGGCCACATCTTTGAAAGGGTCAAGCCAATTCAAATCTTAAACAGTTAGAAAACTAAAAGGTTGAAAGTGGGGTATAAACAGCTCAGCTCCATCATTACAGATCAAAAGTTAGATACAATTATGATCATCCAAACCAAATGTATGATAGAGAACCACCAAATTATCCTACTATGAATTATTTCAATGATTCTCTGAATTATTTTGATGTACCTAAATTAGGTGGAAGTTAAAGATCCTATGGCACTATTTGAAAAGTAAAGAGAATTTCTCCCAGTGTCCTGGCCAACAAGCCCCCAGATAAAATTGATCATTCACCTTATGGCTATTTGTGGGACATTATTGTGTGCAAATTGGCTGCCGCATTATCCTGCAAAATACACAACAACAACAAGATTCCATTTATAGAGAGCCTTTCACATCGGGATGACGTCCCGAGGCGCTGTACAGTTGGGTCAGGACCTAAGCAGGGGGGAAATGGTCAGGGTGAGGGGAGGGAAGGGAGGGAGCGAGGAGGGGTAGAGAGTCGAGAGGGGAGCTGAAGGCACGGTCAAAGAGAAAGGTCTTGAGACCGGCCTTGAAGGAGGAAAGGGAGGAGGCGGCGAAGGCACTGGGGGATAGAGTTCCAGAGCCTCGGGGCTGAGAGGCTGAAGGCCCGGCCACCGATGGTAGGGCGGTTGGGGCGGGGGATATGGAGCAGACCGGAGCCAGGCGGATAGTAGGTCAGAGAGATAGGAGGGAGCAAGGCCGTGAATGGCCTTGTAGGTGAGGATGAGGATCTTGAATTCGATCCTCTGGGGATGGGGAGCCAGTGGAGGCGAGCGAGGGTGGGAGTGATGTGGTCGCGAAGCCTGGTGCGGGACAGTACACGAGCTGCAGAGTTCTGAATGACCTGCAGCTTGTGGAGGGAGGTGCCGGGAAGGCCGGCGAGGAGAGAGTTCCCATAGTCCAGCCTTGAGGTGATAAAGGCGTGGACCAGAGTTTCAGCAGCGTGAGGGGTGAGGTAGTGCCGTAGTCTGGCGATATTCCGGAGGTGATGGAAGGCGGTGCCAGTTGTGGCGCGGATATGAGGGAGAAAGGACAGCTCAGGGTCGAACAGAACCCGAGGTTCCTGATGGCTTTGAGAGGTGGAGAGTGCAGCCTTGGATGCTGATGCTGTCAGCGCCTGAGGTGCGGAGGCGCTGATGCGACCCAATCAGGAGGGCCTCAGTTTTGCACACATTGAGCTGAAGAAAGTTGTCTCTCGTCCAGGACTCGATGTCGGACAGGCAGCTGTCAGGACATCGGTGGTCGTGGAGTTGATGGTAGAGGAGGAAAGGTAGAGTTGGGTGTCATCCGCATACATGTGGAAGTTAACCCCATGTCTGCGGATGATGTCACCAAGGGGGAGCATATAGAGGGTGAAGAGGAGGGGACCGAGGACAGAGCCCTGAGGGACACCGCACGAGACAGTGCGGGGGCCAGAGGAAAAGCTGTTCGTGGAAACAAAGTGAAGACGGTGGGAGAGGTACGACCTAAACCACTCAAGGACAGGGCCTTGAAGGTTGAGATGGGAGGACAAGCGGTGGAGGAGGATAGCGTGGTCGACCGTATCGAATGCTGCCGATAGGTCGAGGAGGACGAGGAGGCAGAGGGAGCCCTGGTCACAGATGGTCAGGATGTCATTGGTGACCTTGACCAGGGCAGTTTCTGTGCTATGGGCAGCACGGAAACCCGACTGAAGGGGTTCGAATAATGAATGAGTGGAGAGGAAAGAGCACAGCTGGGAGGCGACAACTCGTTCAAGGACCTTGGACAGGGGATTTTGGAGGGGAGGTTGGAGATGGGCCGGTAGCTTGATAGCTGCGACGCATCAAGGGAGGGTTTTTTCAAGGTGGGAGTGATGGTGGCAGTTTTTAAGGGAATGGGAACAGAGCCAGAGGAGAGGGACAGGTTGACGATGTCTGTGATATGTGGGGCAAGAAGGTGGAGCTGGGAGATAAGGAGTGGAGTGGGGATGGGGTCAAGGGAGCAGGTGGTGGGTTTCAGGGATAGGATGAGTTTGGTGACAGAGGGTGGGGAAACGGGTACGAAAGTGTGCAGGTGAGGATGGGTAGGAGTTGGAGTGTGGGAGGGAGGGGTGGGGGTGGGTGTGGATGTTGGAGGGGAAGTGACCGCGGAGCGAATTCCCTTGATTTTGGATTCAAGGAAATCCAGCATCTCCTCGCAGTGAAGGTTGGAGGAGATGACCTGCGCGGGGTGGCGGGGGGGATGGAGGAGTCGGGATGTGGTAGAAAACAGTAGCCTGGGGTTGTTCTTCACCTCCAGGATTATCCTGGAGTAGAAGGACGACTTGACCGAAGCTAGAGTGGAGCGGTAGATTTTGAGGAGGTCCAGCCAGATTTGTCGGTGGACCGTTAGGCCAGATTTGATGCAGGTGCCTTCAGCGGCCCGCACCTGGCTCTTCAGTGAGCGGAGGTGGGTGGTGAACCAGAGGGAGAAGCGAGAGTAGGAGACAGTACGGGAGGTGATGGGGGCAAGAGTGTCGAGTGTGGAGGAGAGGGTGTTGTGGAGGAGGGTGAGAGGAGAAGAGGGGTCAGTAAGGGTTGAAGGCCAGAGGGAGAGGAGTTCAGAGGACTCCAAGGCAGCGGTTAGGGATTGTGGGGGTAACTTCTTCCAGTCACAGTCACTGCACTTCACAGTAAAATTCAGTAAAGCACTTTGAGATGTTTTAAGGTACTTTATCAAAATGTAAAGATTGTTATTATTATTATAAAATTGAAAGAACTCTTGAATAAAACAAGCCCCCTGTTACCAAACTGCCACTATACCTGGGATCAAAGGAGGTACATGCTGAACTGGGGTGTCCTTTCTTCTTGGCTTTTTGTACTCCGGCTCAGGGTCTTTCTTTTCCTTCTCATTCTCTTCGTTGATCTCACAGGTTTGTATAAGCTGATCTGAGAGGTTTGAAAGATCATCTGGCAGAAAAGGAATATGTAAAGTTACATTTATGTTAACCACTGGAACCGTGGGCACTGAAAAACAATTGTTCTCCTGGACAACAGCAAAGGTGGCAATGCTGGTCAGGCACCAAGGGTCCAAACAGAGACAAGGGCAAATCAGACAGTGGCAAATCAATGATCCTGTTGGGAAAATTCAATATAATCAATCTCCAGTGGGAGCTCTATAGTATGAGTACAAATTCATGGCCTGATTCTAATCAACTCGACAGAAAGGAGATCATCCCAGCAGCAGAGGTTCTGGTTCATAGTGAGCATTACTGAGCACAGCGCAGAGCAAACCTGAATTGCACCTAGTCTAAGCCCATAAGATAATATTGTCTTCAAATTCAAGATCACGATAATTGTGAAAAAGTCTTAATAATAATAATAATAATCCTTGCATTTGATATAGCGCTTTTCACATCGGGAGGACGTCCCAAAGTGCTTCACAGAACACACTGTAAAGTGAATTGACTGTATATTTGTGGGTGAACGCGGAAGCCAATTGCGCACAGTAATGTCCCACAAACAGTCGTAGATTGAAACTAACCAATTTATTATTGTTTTTAGTTTTGGAGGGATTATTATTATGTGTGTGGAGTAAGGAAACTTGCCCAAGGTTTTGCCCTGCCTGGAATTGAATTCAGGTGTCTCGCTTGCAAAGCGAGTGCTCTAACCACTGAGCTGCAGGACTCCACAATCCAATCCAATCTTCAATTGCTCTAATTAAGAGCTGCTGAAAATTGGTTTCTAAATTAAGACTGAATTAAAACAAATGTTCCACAAATCGTCATGATCTTTAGTTTTAAGACAAAATAGTTTTTCAAGCTATTATAGCATAAGGTCCAAGGAGAGACCCCTGGTCTGTATTGAGTTACCTAACGTCAGTCTAAGGAGGGGAATAAAATAAGACAAGATTTCAGTTTTTGATTGTTATTCCCCTACTAGAAAGGGGGTGAATGTGATATCTGGTGAGAGCTATATGGAGTTTGACAAAGGGCAAAATAAATGTCCGTTGACTCAAAAAATACCTCCTCACTGAACCCATCGCAGTCATTCGGACACAATTCACTGAACGCCATTGCTGCCACGTAACACCTCCCCTTTCAGGACTTTCCAACTTATTTCCTTGAGCACTACAGTACAAAATGAAACAACTCGCTTGATTGAAACTTTTGATCACAACACATGAATTTCATAGTGCATGATTGTTGGTGGGAGCAGGTAATAACGTAATTACTTACACATTCAAAGAAGAAAGAACCCCTAAATAGGGATTAAATGGGGAGGTGAGAAAATCTCAAACAATAACTTACCTTTCATTGGCTTCTCTGAAGACCTTCCCACCACAAAGCCTCTCATAGGTGTTGCTGTGTTCTTTCCCAGCCTCACGTCCCATGTTACAGCCCCACCCTGTGACTGCGCTCTCACCTCACCTGCTTCCTCCCAGACACGTTTCTCTCTCACACACTCACATGCACACATCCCGGCACATTCATTATTTCGCTGGCAACTGGCAAGCCTATAAAAAACTGACCAGGTGGCAACCTTAGCAGACACCAGAAAGTATTCATTTACCAAGGAAAGTATTTATTTGTTTCAGGCAATTAATGACTGAAACAAGTTGACAGGAATGGTGGTTGAGGCCAGGACACTGGACTCATTTAAAAAGCAGCTTGATGCTATGATGGGGAGACAGTAGGGTGGGTATTCTAGTGAGGAATAATAATAATAATAATCTTTGAATTTGATATAGTGCCTTATCACGCTTCGAGACATCTCAAAGCGCTTCACGGAATATACTGCAAAGTGAATTGACTGTATATTTTGTGGGAAAACTCGGCAGCCAATTGCGCACAGCAGTGTCCCACAAACAGTGGCAAATTGAGTGACGACATTTTTTGAAGAGATTATTATGAGGTCAGATGGACTGAAGGGCGTTCTTCATTGAAATTAATCTTGTGATCTTAAAATGTTATATCCTTGCACACAGGAAACCTACTATATAAAGTCAGTTTTTTACACCATATGTATTCCTGGATGCAGCTGCTAATTAGACTGTGTGTAGGCAGAGTCTATGGGCAGCAGGCTGATCACAGAAGGTGAGTGTTATTAAAGAAAAACTTGCAAACAAAGGAGCAAATTTTGGATCTTTGTTAACATCCATTCCTTGCGTTAATTATATTAGCACAAGGAATGGATTTAAAAAATACCCCATAATTGCACTCTATTATTAGATGCATAGTTTCTAATAATTTCACAGTAAGATGTTACAATGTTAGCATAGCTGCCAGTTTCTTTGCTATCTCTCTGCTCATTTCCAGTCACACTCTGTTTGCCACTCTTTTTCCTTTCTCTAATTTCACTTTCTGGGATTGTCATTTCTCTTTCCAACTTCCTATTTGAGCAAGTCGCTACAGGCATACAGGCAGTGAATGAATTGTGCGTTAAATCAAGCAACGGCTGTCAGATTGTATCTCAGCACACAGCCCAAACGACCAGGTTTATTATTTCTGCTCAGAGTTCCTCAGCACTTACCACTGTACAATTCAGTAAGTTAATAGAAATAGAAAAAAGCAGGGATGATGAACTTCAGTTATGTGGAGCAACTAGAGAAGATGGGATTGCTCTCCTTAGAGCAGAGAAGGCTAAGGGGAGATTTAGTAGAGGTGTTCAAAATTATGAGGGGTTTTGTTACAGTCGATAGGGAGAAACTGTTTCCACTAGCCAGTGGGTTAGTAACCAGGGCACATAGATTTAAAGTAATTGGCAAAAGAACCAGAGATGAGGAGAATTTTTTTTATACAGAGAGTTTCGGTCTGGAATGCATGGCCTGAAAGGCTGGTGGAACCAGATTCACCAACAACTTTCAAAAGGGTATTAAATAGGTACTTGGAAAGGAAAAATTTGACGGGTTATGGGGAAAGAGCACGGGAGTGGGACTGATCGGGTAGATCTTCCAAAGAGTCGGCACAGGCGTGATATTCTATGATACACTGTGCTGTAATATTCTATGATTCTATGAAATCCATGTGTGTGTGTTGGGGGGTGGGGTGGGGGGGAGATTAAGGAATAAGAAGAGGAATTTTGAGTCTGATAAGTGTAATGTGAACAAGAAAATAAAACCTGATACAGGTAGCAGAGAGCTCTCAGAAGGTGATTGACGCCAGGTACTATTCCGAGACTGGGATATCTATAGGCTGGGGAATGGGATTAATTCTGCAACAAAACCGCAGACGAATTCTTCTTGATCCCTGACAATGATAAGAACATAGGAAACAGGAATAGGAGGAAGCCATTGAATCTATTGGGCTGTTCCATCAGTTTATTAGATCTTGGCAGATATTTTAATCCCATTGGTCTCCCCTTTCCCCATTCCCGTTATTATCTCTATTACCCAAGTAGCTGTCTGTCTATCTTTCAAACATCCTTCTGACTCCTCCTCCACAGCTTCCTGGGGCAGAGCAGGAAGAACCTAATAGGTGAGATCAGACACATCTGCGGTGGCCAGTACTTTATGGGGTTTAATAAGAGAAGTCACCCTCCACACAGTGAAGATCAGTAAGCAGCAGCATTGCTAAACCAAATTGGTAAATGGATAGGTTAGAAGGTCTCACCCCTTGAACCACATATTCAAGTATTCTTTTACTGGGTTTTGTCTCTTTTCTGTCAAAATCAACCCAGTGCTGAGACAGAACTATGGATCAGTGCACGAAGCCTAGCTTTTCACTTTAAATATAAATAAACTGGATGCAGGAATAAAGGGGAATACTTCCAAGTTAAAATAGGTTGAGGCGTGTCATCAAATTGTGAAGGGATATAAACACATGAAGTGAATGTGCAGAATTATGGCAAATGGAGTTTAACATAGTGAAGTGTGAGATATTACATGGTCCCATGTATTGACTCCCACCTATTGGTAGGTGTGGATACTGTAAATATTCTCATGTATATTCTGTATATAAACTCTGCTCCTCTCCAGTAACTTTCTATTTGCCACTCACTTTTTTCTCCAATTCTCTTTCAATCTTTCTGGGATTGTCATTTCTCTTTCCTACTTCCTATTTGAGCACGTTGCTGCAGGCAGATAGGCAGTGAATGAATTGTTCATTAAATCAAGCATCTTATAATGTGTGTGTGATTTGTGTGTGTGCTTCTGGGGGGTGCTCTCATGAATAGGCACCTGTCTATAGGCAGTGATACATTTGTGGAAATTCTCCTGTGCAAGTGTATAGACTACTGTGTAAAAGCTGCTATCTATAGGCTCTGTGTTTAAGCTCCTGTGAAAATATTACATGCAAAGGTACCATCTGTCTATAGGTTCTCATATACAGACTCCTGTGTACAGGTTCTGTGTGTAATGCACATTTGTTTTAGTAATTTTGACCCAAACAATGGACTGCAACTTATACTTGAGGATAAACTATACAGGGAATAATGTGGTATATATCATAAGGGAGATTTACACCATGTTTAAGTATCTGTATGGAAGTTGCACACCTTATAACTGCTTAAAAGCTAAATAAATCAAAATCTTCTCCAGCATTATAAAGACAGCTTGCCATGTCCTACGATATTTCTAGTTGGTCAAGTCTATATTTTGCCACCTTAAAAACATCTTAGAAACATCACAAATACATTTAATTTGTATGCCTTATCCCATCAAAGCTTCTCACAGATAATTATGGTCAAGGGCAGTCATCGTTTTCTTTAAGCAAATACAGAAACAATATGTACCAGCAAGGTCCGATAAACAGCCATGCAGTGAATGACCAATTAATCTGGATAACTGTTAGCTCGCAAACGTGGAGAAACTTGTTTTGAATACTGCCATGGAATCTTTAACAATCCCTAAAGAAGTAAAGGACCTTTGCTTAACTTCTCATCCAACTATGCAGAAATCTCCCACTATAACATTGAGCTTTGCCCACAAAGTATACGGTCAATCTATTTTACAGTATATCCTAGGAAACGCTTTGAGACAATAAAATGAAATGATAAGGTGCTATATTAAATGCAAGGATTATATTATTATTATTACTGAGTGACAACCTGTTTATGAGTTCAAATCGTAATGTAGGCTTGAACCCACTATCTTCTGATTCAGACGGAAGTTCTCCCAACTGACATTTCAGTTCCGATGAGATCCCGTGAATAAAGGCTAATGATTGTGTGACATACAGGGGATTGCCAGGAGATAACTTCTGTTAATATCATGGGTGCTTTTACCAGTGGCCTTGCTATAGTGATTCCACAAGAGGGCATATTAGATGCCAAAACTATCCGATTTGCATTGTACACAGACAACAGAGCAAATCGACAGAACTTTTAGCTTCCCACGCTGTACAGGTGTAGGCTATAAATTTAATATTATGACATCTTAAAATGAAGTCCTGTCTGCCTGTTCAGATAGACATTAGAGGTGCTGTGTTACTATTCAAAAAGAGAAGAGAGTTTCTCCCAGTGTCCTGCCAACAATCTCCCAAATAAGACTGATCATTAACTTCATGGATGTTTGTGAGAAATTGCTGTGCACAAATTGGTTGTTGTCTTCTCCTACAGTCAATGCATCTTACAATAAATCCTGTGAAGCGCACTGAAATGTCCTCTGGACGTGAAAGGCTCTATATCAAATACAAGGATGATTATTAATAATAATATAGGGTTCAAAATTGCATTATTCCCCAAAAAATAATTCCTTAATTAATGTTGAGGATAATTATTGATGGAAAACTGTCTTTAATCATTTGTTTGGACTGAATATCCCTTGAATTTGAATGAATGGTTTCTCCCTCTGGCTTTATGGTCAGTTTAGTGGCATTGTTTCATGTAACATTTTAGTGAGGATTAGGAAAGGGTTTAATTGGGCCTTACATGGAGTCCTGTAGCTCAGTGGTTAAAGCACTCGCTTTGCAAGTGAGAGACCTGAGTTCAATTCCAGGCAGGGAGAAACCTTGGGCAAGTTTCCTTACTCCACACGCCTAATAATAATCCCTCCAAAAAACCAAAAACAATAATTAAATTGGTCATTTTCAATCTACGACTGTTTGTGGGACATTGCTGTGCGCAATTGGCTGCCGCGTTCGTCCACAAATATACAGTCAATTCACTTTACAGTGTGTTCTGTGAAGCGCTTTGGGACGTCCTCCCGACGTGAAAAGCGCTATATCAAATGCAAGGATTATTATTATTATTATTATTATTATTATTATTACATGTTTTTTTCCCCACACATAAATACAACTTGAAAAGTAAAAAAAAAAGTTGAAATTAGAATGTTGTTTTCGTGGCTAAGAATCCAAGAAATACATCTCTCGCTAAAAATTATTTAAAAAGAAAATGGCAGCCAAATTCACTATAAGAAGCCAGAGAGAAATATCATTTCCCTGAAGTCAGAGGGTGCCTGGTCCTAAAGACAAGATTAAACACACATTTGTAACCACAACTTCTGTAGCATTATCACTAGCAATACGTAAAGAATGGGGGAATAGTTTAAGAATATTGCACTATTGATCCCAATAGTTGCTATATAAAAATCATTTGTGCCACATCGAATGATTCTTGTAAGTCATGGCATCTTTAAGGAAATGGCTTCCCATCTGTGAACTGTGGAGATTCAGGAGTGCACCTTCCATCTGTGCCTCCATCTGGCACCATTGGCCAGTGCTCTGCCCTGAAGCAAACTCTTATCATATTTCAGGGGAACATATTGCACTTTTTCAGTCTGGCTGATGAAATCTCTTTCCATTGGTGTAATGAACTGTCTCTGCGGACATCACACCAGATTAGTTACCTAAGTGCTTGCATAGCTGCTCGCTGTTGTCCAGCCTGTCATCTTGTACGTCAGGTGAAGGCACGCACTCTGACGACATGTCGATTTGCTTTTATTCCTGTGGATAAAGTAATAGGTAGACGGTCAACTCTTTCACACAGTGTAGCAACCCTTCGCTAGTGTAAGTGCTCTGGCACCCTACCCTGCATGAAGGGCACTATATAGATGCAAGTTGTTGTTATTTTCTAACCACACAAACTGTAACTAAACATTATTGTCAGTGTAAATACTACAGGATAAGCAGCTGTGAACAATATTACACTCACACTCATGTAATCTGTATTGGAAAAAAACGGAATAGTTCAGTGAGGTCCTCTTCAGGCTGACTGATCCAGTTCCTCTTTTCTCTCTGTCCTTCCCAACCCATTACAAATGTGGTTCCATCCCAGTATTTCATTGTGGTTTTGTGGTGCCAGGTGCTGTGAAATTCAGTCACCCACAAGTTAATCATCATTTCCCATCTGAGACCATGTCCTGGTCTTAGTTCCAGCTCCTGCTCCATCTTGACCTATTCTCCCAGTCCAAGATAGCCTGGTCTCTATCCTGTCGCTCATATCCCAGCTTTCATCTGAGCTGAGCCTAGTCTTTATCTCAGCCCTGTCCTCTGTCCCTGCCTATGTTCCAGCCCTTGCCCCAAGGGGCATTGCAAATTGATTGTCACTTTCACCAACAAATTACATACATTTTACAGTATATTTTGTGAATGTTTTGAGATGTCCTCCTGATGTGAAAGCCGCTATACCAAACGTAAATATTATTATCCCATAGCATAGTGGTTAGAGAGCTCGCCTTTTCAAGTGAGAATACCCGAGTTTGATTCCCGGAAGGGCTAAAACCTTAGGCAAGTTTCCTTGCTCTGCTTCTGTTTACTTAGCAGAAAGTAGGTACCCGGTTTTTAGTCAATTGGCAGATTACTTTCCAGGGGTAATAATCCCTCCAAAAACAAAATTGGTCACTCAATCTACGGCTGTTTGTGGAATACTGCTGTGCATAATTGGCTTCAACGTTTTGCCTGCAAAATACAGTCAATCCACTTTACAATAGAATCTGTGAAGCACTTTGAGACATCTCAATGATGTGATATGAAGCTATATCGAATGCAAGGATTATTATTATTATTATCAAGGAAATCAGTCCTCAAGATATAAGATTATCGGCTGTTGGGGTTACTGAAATTGTAAAAAAATAAAATTGTATTTCGATTAAGTAGAGTTAGGATGTTTATTACTTTTTATTGATGGTTAAGATCCTGTTACTAATTAAGACACTATGATTCACTATGATTATAATTAAGACTCATTACTAGTTAGGACACTGTGACTTATTTCTAGTTAAGTAATACTTTTATTACTTTTTATAACTTGTCTTTTTCAATAGGTAACAAATGTAGCAGTTAGTTAGTTATTGGTAAAAAAATCTGTCAAAACCACTTAAGCCTTTTAAGATATATATTGTTACATTGCTGATGAGACAGAGTGCTGAGAATCTGTCCCGACCTACAGTACATGTGTTATACTGATATTAAAAGCCATAACGCTTCTATACTTTGTGAACTTTTTAGTCCTGAAACTCAGCTACTGCCACTTTCTGACCTCAGATCTTGATGTCTTTCTAGGTACACCGCATCTTAGAATCATAACATTTTTCAGCACAGGAGACCATTTTACCCATCACATCTGTGCTGGCTCTCTGAAAAATCTGTTTTGTCATATTCCCTGCCTTTTTCCCATTCCCCCTTTCATATGTGGAGTCCTGTAGCTCAGTTATTAGAGCATTTGCCTCGTAAGTGAGAGACCTGGGTTTGATTCCTGGCAGGGCAAAATGTTGGGCAAGTTACATTACTCCACACGCCTCTGTTTACCTTGCAGGAAGTAGGAACTCAGTTGGCAGATTGCTTTTCTGGGGGTAATAATTCCTTTAAAAAAAATTGAATACTCAATTCACAACTGTTTATGGGACACTGCTGTGTGCAATTGTCTGCCTTTCAGCGTCTTTGGGTGTCCTCCTGACGTGAAAGGCGCTTTACAATTGTAATTTTGTTGTTGTTTCCGCATTTCACCCACAAAATATACAGTCAATTCACTTTACAGTATATTCTGTGAAGCACTTTGAGACGTCTCAAAGACGTGATAATATCAAATAATACAAGGATTATTATTATTATATGTTTCCTTTACCAGAGTGAAACACTGGAGAACAAACCTAACCCCTGTCGAAGCAACGTATTAGAAATGAGTCACAGAGTATTAACTGGCAATGAGTCATAGAGTCTCTAGTAATGAGTCGCACTGTCTTAACTAGCAAAAAGGTATAGTATCATGACTAGTAGTGAGTTGCAGGTTCTTAACCAGAAATAACTCACAGTGTCTTAATTAGTAATGTATTGGAGAATTTTAATTAGCAACGAGTCATAGTGTCTTAATTAGTAACAAGATCTTAACTAGCAATAAGTCATAGCATCTTAACAAGTAATGTGTTGCAGTACGTTAACTAGTAATGAGTCGCAGTATTATAGATCCATCGTGAGACAGTGTATATTGGGAGGACACAAATTTTGAGTTTCAAGCAGAGAAATTGGTCAATTGGTTTAAAGTGTCTTTGCTTCATTACGCAAAAGCCAAGTGCAATATTTAATTCACTGCTTTGTTTGGTAGTAAGAGAAAGCACAAACAAAATATCTCTTCATTTCCTCCCAACAGTTTCTGTCTCTTAACAATACAGTGGTCGCATACACTCCAGTCCTGTTATTAGTGTCCAGGACAAGACTAGAATTGTATTTTTCTGTTATAACAACGTACATGCGATAATGAATCACTTATAACATTGCATCAAATGGAATTTGAAAATCCTAATACAACAGCAAAAGGCCAGTATTATAGCAGGTTTAGTGCTATAGCTGCCATATGTCCTTCATTGCTTCTTAAAAACAATGATAAGAAATTTACTTTATTTTTTGATGTTATTTTACGATTACAAAAGTACTCTGTAAACACCTGTACTTTTCCTTATAAAGTCACAGGAGAGGACTGTGTGAAGTACTCACCGACAGAAAGCCGACAGCTGTCTTCACTAAAGGATGATCTGTCTGCGCTACTGCTGTGAGCCTTACCTCGGGCTTATCTAACCAGCATCGGTGGTCGTCATGGCAATCTTGAGTTGCCATGGTTTTTCATCACTTGCAATTAATCTCTTTTGAAACACTAATTATGACCTGAAGACTTTTGACAACTCTGGAAAGGGAAGTGTAGGTTACACCAGAACTAACAACAGATTAAAAAAAATACTTGTGTATGTTTATTGCACTCGACAGTTTCACAAATTCTTTGAGAAACCACCAACGTTACATTTTAAGAGGATTGCAAAGTAAAGCGTCCTTAGCAGTAAATTGGACTTTGAATTATTTTCTCACTATAAAGAGGGAAGTGATTTTGGTTTATAGTTTCCTCTGAAGAACAGTGTGGAAATAAACTGAGAGCAAAACACATATTACTCCATGTTATAATAAATAACCTTATCCTTCAAACTTATAATTCAGCATAGGGGTGAAGATTGTGGCTTGTATTGCGTTGGATAGGGATAGAGGTACAGAGATAGGAAGTCAGGGAGAGAAAGGCACAGATAGACAACCAGTGTCAGTGACCGTAGGCAGGGTCAAAGAGCTTGGTCTTTAGGTGGGATTTAAAGATAGAGGTGGTGGGGGGTGGGGGTGCTAGACAGATGGGTGGCGAGAGGGAGCTCCAGAGGCACAGAAGTTGAAGGTTCAACCACAATCTTTATCTAACAGTGCTGGGATTGTGTATTGAATAGCACAATCTTCTCACCCACTGGTAGGAGGCAAAGAATCATAGAAATCTATCATACAGCAGGAAGCCATTCAACCTATCGCATTATTGCCCGTGTTTGCTCCTCAAATGAAACCACTTAGCCAAATCCCAATTTCCTGATCTTTCCCTTTATTCTCAAATCCTCTTTCTCCAAATGTCCCCACCTTAATCCCCCTTTAATTGCCCCCAATCAACTCTTCTCTAACAGCCACCCCTGGCAATTCATTCCATACTCTTGATAACCCTCTGGGAGAATTTTCTGTCTGAAACATTCCCCCTTCACAGTCCTAAGTATAATCTTAAATTCATCCCCCCTTGTTCTCAAACCACCTACTTGCAAGAATAGTTCCACACCATTTAGCCTCTGAATTTTCCTTTCATTATCTTCCGTGGGACATTCTCCCGACCTGAAAGGCACTATACAAATTTAATTTTGTTGTTGTTGTTAAACACCTCCTTGATCATATCCACTATCACCCTGGAAATCATCCTCGCAATCTGTTTCTCTAAGCCAATGTCAATTTCCTGACAGTGTTGCCATATGTCTGCCACTGCACCAGAAGGTGTAACCTCCCCTCTGCCCTTCACCAATGACACCTCACTGAACAAGAGTAATTCCACATGGTATTATAGACCTGAGGGTGGACATAGACTTGACAGTGTAGATAAACCTGAATGTATATATGGATCTGACTTGGGGGAAGGCTTCCTAGCCCCAAAACGTGGTTGAAAAGGTAAATCTTACACCGGTACATCAAATACATTGCTTAGAATTGTATTTAAACTGAATTAAAGTTTAATTAATTCACTCACGACCTCACCATCCACGACCTCATCCTGGACGAGCACCTTGACATTCTTGGGCTCACCGAAACCTGGCTCAATCCCAATGACCCCGTCCTAGTGGAAGCCTCCCCTCCAGGCTACACCTTCCACCACACCCCCCATCCAAACCAACATGGCGACAGAGTGGCCTTCATTTCCAAAGCCTCCCTTGATCTTAGACCCTACTTTCTTCCACCTCCAACGAATCACACATCTCCACCAATACCTCTCTCCGAAAGCCGCTGAAACCCTGGTCCATACCTATGTCACCTCTCGTCTGGACTATTCTAACACCCTCTTTGCCGGCCTCCCATCTATTATCATCCATAAAATCCAGATTATTCAAAACTCTGCCACCCGCATTCTCACCCACACCAAACTCCGCTCCCCAATTATCCCAGTCCTTGGCAGACTGCACTGGCTGCCTGTTCCAGAAAGGATCGCTTCAAGATCCTCACTCTTGTCTTCAAATCCCTCCACTCCTCTGCACCCCACTACCTCTCTGAACTCCTCTCTCCTCAAAACAGTGCCTGTTGCCTTCGTTCCTCCGGTCTGGCCTTCTTCTTGTCCCCCGAGTCCTCCGCTGGCCGTGCCTTCAGCCACTATGCCCCGAGGCTCTGGAACTCCCTTCCTCACTCCCTTAGCCTCGCTCCCTCTCTTCCTATTTTCAGGTCTCTGCTGAAGACCTTTCTTTTCGACCGCGCCTTTGGTCACCTTCCCCCCTCTCCCCCTGGCTCAGCTCCGGGATCCGTTACTGTGAAGCGCTCTGAGACGCCGTCCGGTGTGGAGGGCGCTATATAAATCCAAGTTGTTGTTATTGTTGTTAAAGCTTTACTCCTCGATGTTACTCTAAAATGCGAAGAAGGCCGTTTCCTTACTTTTATTTCAAATTCAATCAATCAGATTAATGTCTTCCGATGATTACAGACAATTTCCTTTAACCAGCTCAAGAGCTCCAGCTCTTCTAATAGTGGTCAGCCCCTGATGGACTAGTGCAGAAAATCAATCCATTCCCTGATGCTAATGTAAAGTGACACCAGTACAAAGCACAGCTTGCAGATCTGTTCTTGGGTGCTGAACCCTCGACCCTGATTCACCCAGACTGAACACTTTATTCTGTAAGCGGAGCATTGGTGGCCAACCAAATTAATCTTAATTCCCCTTGGATCAGAAATGGATATGAATTTCCTGTTAGCTTTATTATTATTAATAATCATAATAATCCTTGCATTTGATAAATTGCTGTCTTAAAGTCCTTCTTATGATTTACTGTAAAGTGTAGTGACTCCATTTGTAGGCATTAGTAGTTATGAACAATGAAGTTTTAAATCCTTCTGTTTAACAGCAGTAAGTTCCTGTGCTGCTCACCATGACTGTGCTGACATATGATCACATCAATAATCAAACGGATCTTTTGTTCACACTCAGCGGTTTCCATTAAATCACGTTTCAGTCATTCTCTTTAGGTGATAAAAGGAGTCTTTGTTAGATTCCAGTCATTACTTATGCAGTGCCTCTGTCATCCACACCTCTGAGCATATCTGTCTATTGTCAGAATGTCTCCAAAGGATTGTGAAATTGATTGGCTTTGTGCCTTGGAAATCACGACTTCTTAGTTCATATTTTTATACTCATTTTAATGCAATTACAAGTTTCTTTCAGTCTGAACTATAAAAGATGTGCAAATACAACAACTACAGTTTGAATTTATAAAGCATCCTTCATGTGGGGTAGCGTCTCGGAGCGCTTAACAGTGGTGGAGCTTGTCACCAAGCCAGGTAGAGGGGGTGCGGGTGTGAGCAGAGTTGACTGGACTGTGTATTTGTAGGTGACAGTAGATCTCGCCTAAGTTGCACTCCAATGGAAAGCATATCTGATCAAAAGAATAAGTATCCTCTCAGCCATGATGTGCTGCATATTCTTTGTGATCATAAACCACTCCAAATCGGTGGCATGTGGGAGTGACCACTGTGTTGTGTTGCATTCTGGCCAGTTATTTTCACATGGAAGACCTTATCTGCCCCACTTGAGCTCATCTCACTGCTCATGTATCTAGCCTCTGACCTCAGTTCTCAGGACAGAGACAGGGAAAGGGGCAATGTTTGAAAATAAGTTCTCAAGAGCCTTGTTCTTACCTTCAAATGGCTCCACAGCCTTTTCCCACTTTATCTCTGTGGTCTCTTGCCATTTTACTACACTGCCCCACTCCCTCTCTACTGTCAAATCTAACCTGTCCCTCATCCTGATGTGGGGGCAGGGTAGATTTGACAGAAGAGGGAGACCACTTGCACATATATAGCGCCCTTGCATATATATAGTGCACTTCACGTAGGGTACTGTCTTGGAGTGCTTAATAATAATAATAATCCTTGCATTTGATATAGAGCTTTTCACGTCAGGAGGACGTCCCAAAGCGCTTCACAGAACACACTGTAAAGTGAATTGACTGTATATTTGTGGGCGAACGCGGCAGCCAATGGCGCACAGCAATGTCCCACAAACAGTCGTAGATTGAAAATGACCAATTTAATTATTGTTTTGGGTTTTTGGAGGGATTATTATTAGGCGTGTGGAGTGGCGAAGCCTGACACCAAGCCTGGGAGAGGAAGGAGACGACCATAGACACAATTGAGGAAGGTCTTCAGGAGGGCAGATATGAAATGTTGCACCAGGCTGCTCCATTTGTCTAGTCACTAGATTTGACAATACCCGCACAGTGCTTTGAAACATTTTCACGTTGTAGATAATACATCAAATGCAAGGATGATGTATTTATCATTATATTATCACTAAATCAGTGCTGTGCAACACCTTCCGATTAAGGTAGTAAGGACAATGGATGTGTGCTGGATACTCCACAACATTCCCAAGTCCTGAAGTATCCACTTGCCTGGATTGTGTTGATGTGCAAACGCAGTGTAACCTCAGAAGGAAGGGAGGCTCATTGGAGCAAGATAACACACAGGAGACAAAGCAAAAATGTTTCTGTTTAAAATCCAGGCCATGTTAACGAAAAAAATGTCAATAACCATGTGTGCCTTTATTTATACGCAGAGTAATTAATTCTACAATGTAATCCTCCTGCTAGGAACATATAGCTGGAAGCTTTCTCTAGGCTCAAAAGGTCATCATTGGTGTCCAAGCTTTCACATACAATAACCTTAATTTCTGAGATTCCCTCCCCCTACCACTGCACTTCCTCCACACTACCATCCCCACCACCCCCAACCTATGTATCTAACTAAGTCCCACCTTAAAACCTATGCCTTCCAACCTGCACATATGGCCAGCTCCCTCTTTTTCTTGTTTGATATCTGATACTGTCTCCATAAAGTGGTCCAAGCCGTTAACCTATGTGAACAGTGCTGGACAAATACAAAGTGGTGTTGTTATCGATGACCCAGCAGGCCTTGTAAGACCATATGTCACTGATCAAACAAAGAGAAAGACAAAACTGTCATCATTACAGAAGGAT